TAAAGTTATTTATTATTATTATTTTTATTATTATTATTATTATTATTATTATTATTATTATTATCATCATTACTAACCTAAGCAATTCTCCCACTGGTGATTTTCAAAATTTGGCGTGAAAGAGCACCATAACCGATGATGGTCAACTTCAGTACAACTTGTGTAGGTAACTCCTTTATAGACAAAGGGGAAAACACAACAGCGATCTTGGTCTGTGAGCCATGTAAAGCACTTGGCTGTCAAAAGAAGTTACTGGAATTAGATGCCGTATGATGCTGTATGTATTACATGGAGGATTTCGATGGCCGCGCGGAGCGGAGATACGGATTTCAGTATCTTCGAGTGTTGAGGTGATATTTTACGAGTTAGCACAGCAAACAAGTAAGATAATCTCAACATGAGAAGATAAAATCCGTATCTCCAAGCGGCTATGTAATATTCTTTTCAGTAATATATAATTATCGATGAAATACGATCCTAGTAGATTTTTTCTATTTAATGCTTACCAAACTGAAAGGTTTTATCTTCACATGTGTAGATATCATTAGCAATTATTCGCCGAAGGCAAAATGAATATCGGGGAATATTTACCGATACGCGAGTCTTCTAGCGGCGTGGTAAATATTCTCCATATTCACTGAGCCTGAGGCGAATAATTGTTTTAGCATATACCAACTTGTGTACAGAGTAACTTATTTTTATATACAACAATTCAATAAAAACAAACAAACAGAAACTTTTAGTTTCCGTGACAAATTCACGCAAAACTTTTAGCAAAACTTTTAAGCCATGCTTCGTTGCCTTTTTAGTATTGATAGGAATGGTATTTACTTTCATTTTTTCAATTTCCTCATTGGAAATTGTAGCAAAATGATTGCCGGCAGATGCCATTTTGTTGCCGACTCAATATTCCGAGATTCAGAGGTGAATATCGTACAATATTCACCTCCAATTAACCAATGAGCGCGCGCGTTCTTAGGAAGTACACAAGTTAGTATATGCTAATGTAATATATTCATAATAATAATAATAATAATACTTTATTCAAAAATGTAGATTACATATTTTGAAAAGGAAGACATTGAGGTTAGCCCTATATAGTTTTTAGTAATAGAGCATACAGTAGATAATTCATCAATGAATATACATTGAATATGAATAGTCTTTCTGCTCAGCCTGTGATTTTCAGTGGAATCATGAACCGAACCTCTGGGCTGTGCCAACTAAGCCAGGGCACGGCTAACTCACTCTGATCGTATCGGAAATTAGCGTTTTAGGTTTTGCTGAGGGACGGAGAAAAACCGGAAAATCCAAAGAGATGCTCTCAAATCAAATAATTATAAAGGAAACTTATATCTGCTTCGCGCCAGGAGCAAATAAGGCCTCACCTCGACATTACTTCGCTGAATATATCATTGTGGCAATGCATAGACGATGGTTGTTATTTCAAAAACCTTGAATTTTATCGAACCCTGAAACGACCTCTGAGCTGGGCCAACTAACTTTGAAAATTTGTATTTTAAGCTTTGTGGATGGAGGTAAACTGGAGAAATATTATGATCCCGATCCAACCGAAAAATTTTCAAACAAGGGGACCAATCGCTTATTATACTTTCAAGGGCTTAATGGAAATTATAACTGTCTCTTGTCATTTTCAGGGTCTAAAAGCCGTGTACACAAGCCCTTAAGCGAGTACTCGTCGAAAATGGTCCCTAAAGGAAGTAGCACTCTGCGATAATAAAGGTCACTAAATTAAGTAACATCCTGCAAAAGTATAGGTCCGTGAATCAAGTAACACCCTGCGAAAATAGGTTCCTAAAGTAAAGCACCCTGCGAAAATAGGTCCCTAAAGGAAGTAGCACCCTGCGATAATATAGGTCCCTAAATTAACTAACATCCTGCAAAAGTATAGGTCTGTGAATCAAGTATTACCCTGCGAAAATAGGTTCCTAAAGTAAAGCACCCTGCGAAAATAGGTCCCTAAAAGAAGTAGCACCCTGCGATAATATAGGTCCCTAAATTAACTAACATCCTGCAAAAGTATAGGTCTGTGAATCAAGTATTACCCTGCAAAAATAGGTTCCTAAAGTAAAGCACCTTGCGAAAATAGGTCCCTTTTCTTAATTTTAGATGAAACTGAACTTTGACTTTTAAACATATATATTTGATATACATAGTTTCGGTTTGCTTTGTTTAAACTCAGCATTTTGATTTCTTAAGTTTGTAAGAATGATCCCAGGATAATAATTTCACTAAGATTCAAGTTAGCGTATCTACAAGGCAATAAATAAGTTACCTTTTTCGTTTTCCAAAGCTATAAAAGATGGATTAAATATTGACTTTGGCAAGGAGTGTTTGTATAGTGCCAACCAATAGGCAATCGTTAGTCCACCAGGGCAGCGGTCAGGATCTAGCAAGCAGGAAGTAGACTCCAAAGCTACTGTTGCTTTATATGTTGATCCATAAATGTGGTTGTATGTGGTTTTACCAGTAAAAGGTGTTTTGACTTTGGTCCTGGAGTCTACGATTTTGCTACTGACAATCTGATCAAGTCTCCACCAGTGTTTGGGGTCGTTGTTTTCTGTCCAAAGATAAATATTAAACTTGGTTAGTTAACATGCTTTGAGGTTGAGAGACTTTTTACAGTCAAACAAGCTCACGCGTTGACCCCTAGAGTCGATTAATGATTTGAATTTTCGAATTTTGATTTCATTATTCAGTTGAAATTTACAACGTCGAAAACGAAGATATCAAAATTCCAATCAACTTTAAATTCAATATACGACGTTTTGATTGGTTAATCAGTGCTAACATAGCCGGAAAACCAAGTAAACATGGCGACCAGAAATAGTCTTGGCCGTGTTTATGTGCCGGGAAAGCCTTTACCTGATATTATTCGACAGGAAATTGTTCATCTCAGCAATAGCGGATTGTCCAATAAAGCAATTTCGCGACAACTAAAACTTTGCCTTCTTTCTATTATTTAGACGCTCTTTCCATTTCTGTTCATTTTGACACAACGTCTCTTTTTACGGGGAAGGGTCACGTCTGTGTTGCAAAAGGCCTATTTTTACAGTAACACCAAGTAATTCAAGTCTGCAGATTTTCCCAATACATATGTTTTCTTTATCAATAAAATCAAATAAATATGATTTACACTGGCATTTCCACAGAGTGGCTCTTCATCTACTGAATGCCTGAATGCCAATTGGAATTTAGAAGTTGATTATTGCGGAGGGAGGAAAACCGGTGAACCCGGAGAATACCATCAAACAACTCAACTCACATACTACTTACGACATACGACACCGAGACCGGCGCGACTTGAACCCGGGTCGCATTGATGAGAGGGGAGCGCTATATTTATATATGCATACGTACCCTCTAGGGGGATGTTCACTTCTAGCGAAGCTGGACCCATTCTTGTTTTACGATGTGCCTGTTGTACCCAGGATCGGCGAGAGCCATGTCGTCCAATCAGAATCCACGAACAGTTTTCGCAGGAAACTAATGGATCAATAGCACCTATGCGATATAGTTCCTCTGCACTGTCACTGATGTACCTTTAAACAACATATGACATTTAACACTTATTGATTGGGACCGAGGGAAACAGGATAAGCCGAGGTAAACATCGCCGGCGAGGGATCACAAAACACACTGCTTTCCCGAGGTTCCAGTCAATAAGTGTTCCGTTAAGTTTTGTTATATACTAAGTGTCCAAGAACACAAGACAATTTTTTAATTATTTGATTTTCACAAATAGGAAAAACTTGCATTTCCGGGAAAATTACTTCCGATATTGTTATTACCGGTCAACAACATATTGTTGCCCGCTGAAAGCCGTTGCCGGAGAAACATCGAAACTTGTTTACGTTCACGTGATGCCCTCTCGCCCAATCAGAATACGTAACAAAATTATTTGTTGCCCGTCACAGAAACGAATGACGAAGTACTAAATATATCGGTCACAATTATATTGCAAATTGCGAGCTTTGAGTTTCCTGGCTTCAGTTAGAACTCTGTCTGAAGACAGTTGATTGTGAGTGAGAAAGCCATGTCCTGAGTTAGATCATCCCAGAGGTTGTTTCGGGATTCGCTCTGTGACATAGCCATGCCCTTACTTAGATCATCCCAAAAGTCGTTTCAGGGTTCGATCCGTGAGTTAGCCATGCCCTGACTTAGATCAGCCCAGAGGTTGTTTCAGGGTTCGATCTGTGAGTTAGCCGTGCCCTGACTTAGATCAGCCCAGAGGTTGTTTCAGGGTTCGATCTGTGAGTTAGCTGTGCCCTGATTTACAGCAGCCCAGAGGTTGTTTCAGGGTTCAATCTGTGAGTGAGACGTGGCCTGCATGACTTAGATCCAGAGGTTGCATTTGATTTCAAAGTATCGATAAAAATGAGGTTTTTAAGATTAAAGTCATTCTAAACCACTGTAATTGCGGTATCTTCACCAGTGAATTTCATTTCATTCAGTTACCTATGCCCAGAGCCTTTCACGGCGACCACTACAATAAAGCGTTCATCAATCGCTCTTAAGTAATCAGCCATTTCCTTTGCTGCTGTCGTCTGGTTAAAGGTGTCAAAACTCCTGGAACTTGTAACATGTCCAGTGGAGGGCTCTAGAACCACAATGTTGTGGCCATTGCCACCTTTACAATGCTCTTTTTCATTGACCTAAAAGAAGGAGCACATGAATCTCACATCCCTAAAAATATAGGACTCGTAAAATAATCCGGATAGACCTCATCTATTCGGGCGTGTTTCCATGTTTTTTAATTCAGGGTTTTACAAGTTGTCAATGTGCTGCACAATAGGACACAAGGTTTCCTTCGAGGTACCTGCACCAATTTCCAATCTCCTTAAAATCCCCATATATCTCCATCCCAATCAACCCACTAAAAATAAAAAATCATTAGTAAAGGCCTGACACTGAGGATGGTCACTGCCAGGGTTTCTTTACGTCCTTACTCTTGGTCACTCCGGAAGGAAGGAAATAGAGTGTGGGAGAGAACAAATTGCTACTTTATTTCTTTTATCTGTTTTCCAAATTTTTGTGTCATTATCGCGAGATACTAGAGGTGGCTTACAACCGGGGGGGGGGGGGGGGGGGGGGTTTWTAACTAGAATTATACGGTATTATGGTATTAAAATGAAACTTGTTGTTTGCACTGTCTAAGTAGGATATTTCGACAACCATTTTGAAAAATACACTATTATGTATCATATAAGGGGATGGTCACAACTATCTTTACAGTAAATTTGGGGGAATGGGTGTGGAAAGAGTCTGCATGGTAAAATATAGAACACCAATCCTCCCTCTAACCTCTAATTTTCGATCGGTCCCTTACCTTGATAGAACAAATAGGTGTTCGTTTTGATACCCCAGGATCACTAAAGCCTTCTGTCATGACTCGAACGTTTACGTTCTCTATGAACAAAAAATATTTATTCCATTATTTTCCATGTTATATCTTATTTTCTCTCCGCCCTCCAATCTCGTACCCAGAGCCTTTCGTCGAGCATGCGCAGTAAGAAATTGATCTGCGCAGTAAGAAGGCTCTGGGTGCGAGATTGTCCACACTCGATTCCAGAACCAAACATTCCTACTGCGCATGCTTTGACGAGACATCAGAAACGCTCATCTGGCATTCCATTGAGCATGCGGGAAAAAAAAAAAAAAAATGCGCAGTAAGACTGAAGGTTCTTGGTTCCAGATTACTCTTTTTCCTCAACCTTAGAATGGCTGATTATGATGTTAAAGGGGTCGGAGAACGGCAATAGAACTCCTTTACCACGACGTTCTTTGGGTACCTCAAACATCAAAATGCAGTTCGATTTTTCGTCCGAAACTTTCGACATTTAGCAAGGCCTCATAACGAAGTTGTTGCTGGAAGAGCAAGCTTATTGTATTCAATTGCCCTAATTCACTATGACGTCACTGCTTGGTTATGCGGTGGATAGAATCACCAAATCCAATAGAAAATTCAACAAAATTTGCTCCTAGCGAAACAGTTTAATCTAAAATGGCCTGGTTTTCAGATATGACATGTGTTAATATGTACTAAAAAATATTCTGAGCGTTTGCTGGCTATTCCTTTACAATATTACATTGAGCTAGCTGTGAGTAAATGGATAATTTATATCTGACTTACCAATCTGAAAACCATAGATATTAGTTTTCTCAATACAAGGTTTTACATTCCAGCTTAAAGGATGAATGCGCAGATATCTGGCTTCTATGGGTCTGGGAAGATCTACCCGGAAGTATATATAACTTACAATCTTTTCGATTAGCTGAGGGACAAAAGTTTAGAAAACATTAGAAAATTCCAAGAAAAGCAGGATTTGTAAAACATGATAAAAAATATTATATCACACTTTGCACAGAATTATTTCCATTGATTCTTCTAAAAAAAAATTGTGAACCATAGATTATGCACGTCCACTTTTATTACACTCTTTTTCTTTGAGAGCGACCCGTTCGACAATAGTACCCATCTCAAAATTATCTTGAATGTGAGGTTAAAATGGAAATAAAATAAATGCCACAATAATGCATTCGAGAAAAAATGTGATTTCCTTTGTCATTTTCATCTTGGCCTCGCATGACCCAATACTTTTAAGAGAAAGGTCATACAAAAAGGTTGGTTTTAGTTGCTTGTCAATCAGACTGTTTAACTGCATTTCTAAAACATCGGTAACTAGTATTTTTTATTTATTTTACGGGTTGATTGACAGACTAGAACCAAACCGCTTTTCGGTCTGCCGACGAACAGGTCGCGCTTCATAGAAAACGAGTGTATTATATTTGCTCGTGCATAAAGTTGTGAATGATGTAAGGTTAAATACCTCGTGATCTATTGACCATTTCACTCCATCGGTAGAGCTTGATAAAGCCAACTTTGTCACCGAGTTTACCGTGCCGTTTACAGTGAAGCCGTACATTACGATAGTGCACACTGGGAAAAAACGAGAGTTAGATATATGTTCTAAAACGAATGTACATAGCTTGCCACACAAGACTTTTTACAAGACCTTCCTACTAAGCTTGTGAAACGTAGTGGAAAAACGATGAAGAGCTCATGAAACTACGAAATATCTGATACATTCCTAGTCACACAAGACTTTCTACAAGACCTTCCTACTAAGCTCATGAGACGTAGTGGAAAAAACGATGAAGAGCTCATGAAACTACGAAATATCTGATACATACCTAGTCACACAAGACTTTCTACAAGACCTTCCTTGAAGAGCTCATGAAACTATGAAATTTGGTCCCTTCTTTATAGGTAAGTTTCGGATTATTTTTTGTCTATCTTGTCTGACTTATAGCCTCCTCTTTATGAGTATGCATATGTACTGGTTACTATTGGATATTCACGCTGCCCAGTATTAAAGAATAGCGAATGCGTGATGTAAATTTTTGGATTTGCCGCCATGTTGATAGCCAAACCACAGGAATCCCAATTACGATACTAGTTTTAATTTTAATTTTATACAGACATGGCTGAAACGTACAATATCGTACCCAGAGCCTGTGTTTCTTCTGGCCTGGGACGAAGAACGAGGGCTCTGGCATGATGAATGTTTTGGCGCATAGGCAATTATCCGGAAGTGAAATATAATAAATGAAAATCAAGCTTTAAAACAGAGTTCTGTTTTTACTCTCGATCAAAGCAAAAATTAGAAATCGGGAACTTTTTTATTCATTTTTGGCAAGTAACTGAACGCATGCGCTCTTATACCGGAAGTCCAAACCCTCGTTCTTCGCCGCAGACCAGAAGAAATGCAGTCTCTGGGTACGAGATTTGGGCTGAAAAACTTATGCCCATGCGCCAAATTGTCCAGGAAAACAAACATGGCGGCTCCTTAAATCTCTGCATCTAATTCAAGAAACTTGGTCGGGTTTTGAAGGGAAAACATTTTAGTACAAACATTAGAAAAGTTCTACATACGATAAAAACAATTAACAAAAATAAATTCTTAATTTTTAATAAATGAGGTTAATATATGTAGATCCGAGGAGCGGATGTTTCCAACTCATACGAAAATGGCTCTTATATGTGGTAATCAGTACCTTTTGTTAGCTTTCCAAATTGTATCTGGAGGAATGTCCCGTTCTCGTTCTCTTTTCCACACCATGCTTTTTGGGGTGCTAAACTGCTGGCATGTTCAGCTCTATAGTTGGAATGACTTGATGTAGTAGACGAGAAGTTGAAGAAACGGGCCTGCATATAAGGACAGCCTAGATAAAAAATGGTATAATAAAGAACTTTAGTGAATGAAAATAATTATTACAAATCCTACTTACTACTCTTACCAGTAGACAAAGGCAGTTTCTTTTTCTTTTTTTTTTTTTTTTTTTGATCGTGCCTCTCAAATCGTTTACGTGATACCAATATTATACCAAGTGCAGTCAAGATTTAATTAGGTGGAATAAAAAACTTGTCCAAGTGGTACAATATTGGCATCACGTGGACGATATGAAATGCAATTGGTGAAATTTAAACGTTTAAAAAAATCCCGACTGCCTCATTCTCAACCCCAAAGCCTGAGCTCTAATGTTGGAAGGCGCACATTCCGTGCGCATTGGTACTTTTGCGGATGATGGAATCGTGCGTATGCGCATTGCTTAAGCACCATGTCACTTCTCATTTGTACTATTATCCCAATAACAAAAGTAGAATTTATTTTTCTTGTTTATGGAACACAGTTTCACTTGACCTTGGTATTTCATGGCCCTTGATTATTGTGAGAATCAAAGATGTGGTACTGGGTTTTGGGTTTGATTCCACGTTTGTTGGGTCTGTCCCTTGATTTGAAGGATTTTTCTCCCTCCACAAAACCTAACACGCTCAATTCCACTTCGATATAGGAATTAGCTTTGCTCACAAATGGTGAGCTTGCAATGATTTTACATCTCACTTACGTGGTCGGATGTGAAAAGCTTCGTACATCTGGTCATCGGATAGTCCTTGATACCATATAGATAGATCAGTGTACATATTATGGCCTTCTACAGCACTGCTTTGTGTAAAGAGTGGTGAACGTGAAAGATATAAGGATCCTTGCGTCGTTAAGGGTGCCGATGAACTGATCGTGCTGTTTGATTCATTTACCTTTGAAACGAAAGTAAAAAGTATGTGCGGTTGATTGATTGGGATGAAAATATATGCTTTTGACTAGCTCCGATCCCCTGCGTGGTCGTAATATGTCCCACAGTCTGGATCCCAAGGGTCAAGTAAAGGCTGCAAAACTTCAACAACAGGCAAACACTTTGAAATTCCACCGTCCTTCACTAAAACAAATGAATATTAGACATAAACAGCTAAGGCTAAATAACTCTGAACAATAGTTAATAGCTCCCTTCACCGTGTTCCCTGTACCATTTTGAAAAGGCAACCGTGCCTATGCATCGAAGCGATAACGGCGGTGACCTTGCAATGATAGGAGACTATCAGTCGTGCAAGCTCACCGCTGTCCTCGCTTCTATGAATAGGCACGGTCGTGCCGAAGTGATTATCTAGTATAATTATTGTTCTTATCAAAATCCAATTGTTTTCTTTCTAGCTTGTTTATCATAGAAACAAAGCCAATAATGAATAAACTAAATATGTCTGATTTTCCTCTATGCATTCGTTGGGATAATGCAGACTGAAAACAATGGATTTTGATAAGATCAGTAATTATGGTGCAAGGAACTGTGAGGGAGACTATTTGAAACTACATTTACAGCGGCTTTGATAATAGAATTTCAAAATTATAAAATTAAAAAATACTACCTTCAACCCATTCACGTAAATTTTCAGGACGCCATTTGCCCATGTTGTCCCAATATGACTCCAACTGTTGTACTTGATAACGGTATTTACGGAAACTTTTCCAGTCGAGGTCCTGATTTCGGCTGTTATTCTGTCCAAACCACTTGTTTTATCATGGGTCTTTGTCACCCAAAAGGCATTTGTTCCCAAGATATGGTGACTTTTATCGGGCTCCGTTGATTCGAGTGTGTTATAAGGCTTGAGCCACAATGTTGTTGAAAGTCCTGTATGATTGTATAAGTAAAATTTACATTCATTAGATCAATCATTCCGATATATTTATTTATCTATCTTCTAAATAATTTACTTGTTCAATCTTATTGTCGTTTTTTTTTTTTTTTTTTTTTTTTTTTTTTTTTTTTTTTGTTCTTTCGATAGTTTATTCATTTCTCCCCTCAATTAAATTCATCCCATTCACTTTTTCGAATTCATTCCATCTATCCGTTTGTTCATTCATTCATAAATTCATGTTCACATTTTATAAACTCAATCATTTCATTCTCTCTTTCATTTTATCTGTTCGTTTATTCATTCATTCCTATAGTCTAAATAGTTATTTAATTCAACTTCATCCGCGATCACATTCACTCATTCATCTATTCGTTTGTAATTCATTCATCGATAGTGTTCGTTTGTTTGTTCTTTATTTCTTTTGTTCATTCATTATTCATTTTGTTAAATCAATTCGATATTTTCATTCTTTTCGTTCTTATTTAATTCATTCTTTCGTTAATTCGTGGTTAGTAGGCTGGCTGGCTGCTTTGGTGGCTTGATATCAGTTTGTCACGGTTGTTTTCTGCTGTGTTTTGCTTGTTTTGTCGTATCTTGTTGTGTCGTGTTGTGTAGTGTGATGTGGTGTGATGTGGTGTGGTGTGGTGTGGTGTGGTGTGGTGTGGTGT